GCACATCCCAATCCCGCATAGAGGAAACACAGACTCACAAGATCATTTGCCATTATATAGATTTATTTCCCCTTTTTTATTTACAAAATTTTATTTCAGTATATTTTTCAGAAGCATAATTTTATGTTTCTTCATGTTTTACTTCTGAGTCAGGACTGGTCAAGGTCTGACTTCCTGCAAAAATGTCCAGTTAAGGAGGACAAAGAGAGCCCTGGGTCATCTTGGGCTCTGCTGCTCTGCTCCCTTTTGTGGGTTAGGCCATGTGGGACACCTGGGTCTTGAATCTTCCTCCTCTTTTCTTGGCTTTCACCCCTGAACACCGGCATGTATGTGCTCTTACAGAATTGTCTGGTTCCAGAATGTCGTTGCCTTGGTCCCAGGCTTTCCCTGAAGGGACCTGGGGCCAGGGAGACAGCCAGAAGGTGGCTGGGTTCTTTGGCAGCCTTGGTTGCCCTCGAAGACGCCCCTGGCACCACCCGATGTCAGGCACTACTGCCAGTTTCACTACGCTAGGGCACCTTCAGCTCTGATGATGACCCTTGACCCAGGGGGTGCAGCAAAGTTTCACAAAAATTGAGCCAGTTGAGGTGACCTTGACCGACTAGGGATACTTCATAGTTTAAGTGTATCTTGGAGATACTTTTAACACCCTCCCCCCAACCCCTACGCTGAAAATCCCACACTGATAATATAGATTTCATATTGATCACAAGACACACTACAACAGACACAAACACACTGCACTTTCGGTAGGACAAGTCACAATTTCCATTGATATTGGGCTGCGCAGGAGCTAGAAAGTTACTGCTCATCACCACTGCAGGGTACCACGCAGGTGGGTAGCTTAGTAAATGCACTCATTAGCTAATAGCTCAAAGGGTTAGGTGTTTATATACAGAATAAGGAAGTTTCATTTGAACGGCCACAGTCTCAGCAAAACTCAGCTCTTAATACGCAAAGACTCTGCAGCCTTGCTATTAACAAGATGATACGGATTGTAAGAATACGTTTAACAGGCTTCATTAGGACCCACCAGCTGGTCCGGTACCTTTGCAAAGGCACCCTGCAGTGGCAGATGGAATGGGCAAGAACCTGGTAGGAAACATGTCACGCAACCCCACGACAAACACCACTTTGGACAGGTAGACGAGAGGCATTCTTCCCAAGGGAGTGGCGGAGAAGAGATTCCAGGGTGAAAGTCAGTGGGATCGCCCATGTGGGGGAACCAAAGGGATGGTGGGCATGGGAGAGAAATGGGGGTTGCTCCATTAAAGACTCAGCACGACTCCTTTCTGTTAACTTCTGCCTTCTCCAGGGCCAAAGGCAGGCCAAGTTTGCTTTGCTTCTCATCCTCTGCCCCAACTCCAAAGTAACTTTCACCACAAGCACTCTGGAGGGTCAGGGGTGTCCTGCTAGATGCTCTGCATTTTCAGAGTCAGTGTGTGTGTGTGTGGGGGGGGGTCGTATAGGCAGCCAGCTGGAGGGGAGATGGGGATGGCTGAGGATGGGGCTCAACAAAGCTGACGACACAGCACACACAGAACACAAGGGGAGATATGGCAATTTTCAGGTTCAAACGACCAAATCCATGGCTAACTTAGAAGGTTCAAGTCCCCTGAAAAGGTGTCATTGCCAAACCTCCCCCTCACTTTGACAATTAACCTCACAGATTGTAAATCTCAGCGGAGCACAGCTGCAGCACTTAGGGCTAGATATTCTTTTTTTTTAATTGATAATACTCTAGCTAGCTACGTGGATCTTTTTTTTTTTAATTGCTAATACTCTATCTAGCTATGTGGATCTATAGAGATTATGTACAGCTGGCCTCTCTGCCCTTCCCGTGCTCTGAAGCCTTCCTGTGCATTGCTGGCAGACGTGTTGTAACCCCCCCTTTGCTGGTCCCCACTACCCCAATCTCCAGGTATGACCTCATCCCAAGAGAACTGCTCACTTTGCAGCTCCGGGACACCCATCATATATTTCCTGGACTCCCAGTGTGGGCGTGAAGCCCCTCTAGGATCCTGGAGACCCAAATCCAACCAACCAACCAATATTTAGGCCCCCGGAAGCCAGACTTTCAGTAGCAATGTTGGGAACTTCTGATGTGGTTACCGCTCTCCTCCCAACCTGTGTCTCTCTGTGAGGGGTGTCCCGAAAGAAAGGGGCGATCGTGGACATTCCAGTGGCGACTTTTTCAGAAGGTGTCTTACAAGATCTGTGTGTGTGTACATGTGTGAGTGTGCACGTGAGTATACATGTGGCTGTGTGTGCTTATGCGTGAGACTGTGTAGGCGTGAGTGTGCATGTGAGTATACACGTGGCCATGTATGCCCACGCGTGTGCATTTGAGACTGTGTAGGCGTGAGTGTGCACGTGAGTGTGTACATGTGGCCGTGTATGCCCATGTGTGTGAGACTGTGTAGGCGTGTGCATGTGAGTATACACGTGGCTGTGTATGCCCATGTGTGTGCATGTGTGAGATGGTTGAGGAGGAGCCAGCAAGCTGGGCCGATCCCTGCAGGCAGTCTCCGGGGCTTCCCTTTCACCTCCCTCTTTGCTCAGCCCTCTCACTCTTCCGACTGCCTCTTCCTCTGAGAGCCCAAATCCAAGGCGGAGCTTAGGGCCTGCTGCTGGAATTCAGCAGCCAACAGCCATCCCAAGACAGGCTACTAAAGCGCCCCGCACAAGGGACCAACCACTGCAGCCCACGTCTCCCAGGCACGTTTGGCTCTCCACCTCCAGCCGCCAGGCCCTTCTGTCACATCAACCACCTGCCTGCGGCTGCCACCGGCTTCCACAGGTGTTAGGCTTACAAGGCACTGAGATAAAAGGATGACTATACAGGCTATATACAACCCCTCTCCTGGTCTCCAGCCCTTCCGGCCCACTGCCTAACCACACTGCCGCTCTCGGGGCAGCTTCCAGGACAGAGCACACGGCTCTGTACCCCCACCTAGCCCACTGATGAAGTACTTCCTGCGGTTTCCTAGAACAGTGTTCACTTCATGTGTCTCCAGTGTCCCTCAGACCACCTGGCACCACCTCCCTCCACTGCCAGCTTGGCCGCCGTGCCTCGCCAGCTTCCAGCCGCTCTGCAACCACAGGTCCTTTGCTGCCACGGTTCTTCTATCCGGAGACAGCAGGGATGTGTGGAGGGAGGGCAGAGAAGTGGATGGGAGCCAGGAGACACTGCTCCCTGCAAGAGGGAACTGGAAAGAAAGTCAGTTAACCAGCCTGGCCCTTTCAAAGAGGGCCTCCCTTCATGAGAACAGGCCTGGGAACAGTGGTGGTTCTGGAAGGTGCTACCAACAGGGACGACAGGTGCTTTCAGGTGTTGTTTCCTTTCACACCCATTCAAACCAGAGAAACCACCACGGGGAAACACATGCGCATTTATTATCACACCCCCACACAACACACACACTCATGTGTACACACAAGCACAAATATACGTAAGTCACAAGTTTCCACGCACTATTACAGGGTGTGCACACACATATATGCACCCACACATTGTTCTATATACACTCTTTTACACACCAAAATAGACTGACACCGATATACACAGAGCTGTAGAGCTTTGCGAATAGCAGACACCCAGGTACACACAGGAACCCAGGTACACACAGGAACACAAACGCTGAAACACAGAGGCAAGGACAGGCGGGCATGGGGTTGCTGCCGGGGGTGGGGAGCCGCTGAGGGAGGAGGCAGGCACACACACTGAGGGCTTGGTGAGGCTCACTGGTGCAGCCCGTCAGTGAAAATGCAGGCTGGTCCTACTTGCATAGAGCCCGCTGGGCGGGCAGGACCCCAGCTCTCCATCGGCTTGCTTCGTGCTTCGTTGGCAGGGAAGCTCCAGGTGCTGTCAAAGGAGGTCCGGGGCCTGGCTGGAGCACCCCCTTTGGGAAGGGGGAGGGAGTTAGGAGGAGGAGGAGGAGCAAGTGGGGGCTCCCCCACTCATGGCTGCGCATCCTCAAGTGTGGAACATGGGGGACAATGGGCTTTGCCTTCCCTGGCTCACAAGGCTCCTGTGAGGGTCCAGCGATGGGACAGGTCAGTGAGCTCAGTGACACTTGCTAGACAAAGAAAAAGGATTAGTAGAGAGATTCTGGACAGTTCTCCGTCCATTATCCTAGCTCAGGCAGTGAAACAGCAAGTAGGAGATTCCCTCACCCTAGTCTTCCTCACCCAGAGCTTTCTCTGCAACTAGTAAACAACTCAGCACCTGACAGAAAGCAAACTGTGATGGAGACAGAGGCAGGGAGTCCCTACTGTCAAGCATTCTAAGGCAGAAAGAGCCACAAGAGAAGCTCCAACCCCGTGCCCTGCAAGACGCCAGCTCCACTTGTATCACCTCCACCCCGGTGGCCCCTCGGCCCTGCTGGAACCGTGTTCTCTCACTTCCCGACATCTCCCTCCGCACCCCCCCCAACCTGCCCCTCAACATCACACTCAAAACACAAAACACAGTAGGAAAAAGGCACTTACGAATATTCCCTGCACTTTGAAGCCATAGCCCTTTCCCTGTGCACCCTAGCCCAGCCCAGCCTGACTTCTCCCATAAAGCCCTGAGCAGGGAGTGTACAAGGGCCGGAATGCCTAGGGGGAAAACAAGAGTAATGAAAACGCAGGGGGACAGAAAAGCCCCCAGAAAGGTTTCAGATCCTTCCTTGGCCTGCCAGCCTGGCTCCTGTCTGGCCTCTGAACATTTCCAGTGACTTTTCTGTGCTTATAGGCTGTAGAAGTCTTTGCGAGGGGGAGCTTCTCTGGCAGAAAAGGAAAATCAGTGTGCGATCTGTCCCCAGCTCTCCCCCTCACTCCCTTCCCTTCCTGCCAACTACTCCCCACCCCCTGTGCTTGCAGAGAAGGGTGGGCTGCTCGACCGCCCAGGTAACAGCAGAGGAAATGGTTGGAACCAAGAAAAGAAGGGGCAGTGGAAGCCAAAGGAACTGTGCTAGGAGCAGGGCAGGGTTCCTATGGCGCTAGGCGCTGTGGGACTAGTTGATATGGTATGCCCAGTAAGCAATGTTGAACAGCCCAAAGGCCAGAGGGAAGAGGAACCGGGACCACCTGTCGACCTTAGGGACATAGTCAGGGTTAAAGAGCTTAGAAGACAGCCCTTGGCTGAGGGAGCACTCCGGGCTCGGGGGAAGGCTGTCATCAGACTCAGAGCCACTATCGTCCTCTCGGACACAGACCAGGACCTCCTCCTCCTCCTCCAGGCTCCAGGTGCTGTCAGCATCACCCCTGGGATTCGCCTCAAGGTCAGGGCAGCCGCTCTCGACACTGGCATCATCAGGCAAGCTACAGATCTCGTCCAGGTCCCAGCTCGCTTCTCGCACAAACCTCTGGCCACGGTTGAGCAGAGGCTGCCTGACAGGGCTGTGGCCATGGCTCTCGTCCAAGCTCGCGTTCTCATCGAGGTCTTCCTGGTCACAGGCCTCAGCGTGGTCACGGGCCTCAGTGCGCCTGCGGATCTCAGACATGATACCATAGAATAGCAGGGCCTGTGCCGAGGTGGAGGGGAGCTGGCTCAGGCTTTCCCTGGAAGCCTGGCTGCACCCAGAGCAGAGGGAGCTGAGGCTTTCCGAGGTGGCCAGCCGGGCTCGCTCTGGGGTGGAGGACAAAGAGCTGAAGCTTTCAGGGCTTGCCAGGCGGGCCAGCGCTGGGATGGAGATCAGAGAGTCGACGTCGTCTTCAATACTAATCAGGTCTCCCTCTAAGGAAAACACAGACAGGTCTATCAAGTTCAAATTGCTTACGTGCACCTGCACAGGGCGGGTAAGAGGGGGAGGAAGAGGGCCTTCACCATCCGCCTCTGGTCCAAGCTCCTGGGTCCCCTCGGCACTCGCAGTATTGTTGCTGGTCTCTTCGACAAACTCGACCATCTCCTGGGGTCTCTGGTGCTCAGGGGGCTGAGGAACAGAACCGGAAGGGGTTACAGAGCTCAGGTAGGTGGGGCTGTTGGGCATTGATGCACCGCCCACAGCCAAAGCCTCAGCGTGGCCTTGGGAGTCTGAACTGCCAAGGACACTAGGGTACGCAGGCCAGCCTCTCTGGTGTCTACCTCTTCCTTTCAGCCTCCTTGGGCCCTCCAACCTTCTCCCTGGGCCCCTGTCCCTTCCTGCCCTGGCAGCATGCCAAGCGGACCAGGTTTGAAGTCCAAAGTCTACGGAAGCCTAGCTCTGCCGCCTCCTAGCTCTGTGAGCTTGGACAGTGAGTGTACCTCCCCTGTGCTCAGTCCCTTCACCTACAAAGGAGCGATGACACAGTCCTATTATCTGCTATCTGCATGTGTGTGTGCTAGGAGACGTGAAAGGGCCACGTGCTGGGTTGGGCCCAAGAGGCGCTCAGGAAAAGCTCGCTGTCTGTCCAAAAGCCAAACCTGCACTTCTTCCACCACCACTTCGCGGTAGCGGTAGCAATTGATGACTCTCCGGGCTCGTCTGTGTCGCCTATGAAAGCGCCGAGGTCCTCGGCTGTAGGAAAGATAGTTGATGTAGACGTACTCCATCAAGGAAAAGAAGACAAAGAAGAAGCACACGATGATATAGATGTCGATGGCCTTGACACAGGAAACTCGGGGCAGCTTATTGCGCACGTGTGAGTTGATGGTGGTCAGGATGAGCATTGACGTCAGGCCTATAAACAACAAGGCACGGGGTTAGCCTCCTCTGGATCCACACCCCACAGTTACAGGCACCTCAGGCCATCTCTGGGGTGGGGTCTTTTCTGAAGTCCTCTCCCGGCCCCTCCTCCTTCATCTTTAAACCCAGCCAGTGTGTCAATGGTTCAATGACTTCCCACTGCTCTTAGCGTCATGTCAAAAGTCTCCAGACGCAGTTTGACCTGACTTCCACCTCATTGTGCCCTATGACGGCCCCTTCCCCGTCTGCCTCCCAGCACACAGGCCTTCCTTTAGTCCCTCATTATTCAATGAGCTCCCACCCCTCAGCAGGTTTGGTGACCATAAAATAGTAGCCAAGTATAGAGATTTAGTCCAGGATGGATGTGTTCCTCGGTACTGCTTAAACCCCTTTGACGGCTCCCTGCTGCTTAAACTGGAATTTCAATTTCAAGGTCTTCTCAACTCTCCCCAGGCTGGGTTTAAAGATGTCTGCTACTCTCCCCAGCAGCCTACGATTTAGCCCATTTGGGGGCCCCTGTGCCTTTAATCAAACTAGTCCTTCTTTGGGGAATGCTACGTCTTGTTGTCTCTGCCTCTTTCAACTCCCCAAAACCGAATCTGACCAACACTGTCTTGATGCTGTTTTGGCCACCAAGACCTGGCCGCTTCCTCCTCTGGACCTCTCTAGCTCTGCCTCCAGCCATTCCTCAAGGGCAGCTCTTCCAGAAGCCCGCTGTTGCCTGGCAGGGCTGAGCCCGGGACCTGAAGCTCCAGCAGTTCGTTGTATTGCATCTCTGATCTAATGTGACAACTTGTCCATCCATGTATGTATTCCAGAACTGATGAATTCGGGTACCTTGGGCCCAATTGGCCAAGGCCCCATCCCTAATGTCTTTGTCACACCTGTGTCAATCGCCAGGCTCTCACTGGGGGTTGGGGTGGGCTGCTGAGCAGCTGCCCAGGTGCCTCTTGGCCCGGCCCCATCCTTGTCATGCAGTCACACACTGCTCCAGGGACTCCTACTCCACACTTGATTTTTTTTTTTTTGAGCAAAATGACCCAAGTCCCCTCCCAGGGCAGGAACCAGACTTACCAACTGTCACCCTGGCAGCAGAGGAATCGCAGTTCATCCAAAAGGACATCCAGGAGAGAACAGTGGTGAGGACAGTGGGCCAATAGACCTGCACAAGGAAGCTGCTGACTTCCCTTTGGACCTGGAACCTCAGGATCAGGCGCATGTAAGAACCTGCCAAGGAGACACAGGGCTGTCAGTGGGCAGGGCGGTGGGCTCTGCAGTGGAGGGAGAGTGCTGGGCTGTCTAGCCTCTCACGCTCCACCCAGAGGCCTCAGCCTGGGCAGACCTAACCCCACATGCTACGCCAGCAGGCCAGGGACGGCGCATGGCCCAGGAGGCCCACATAGCACAGTAGAGCTGGTATAGGGTTTGAAGCAAATAAGGAAATGGGCGAGGAAGCACTTGGCCAGGTCTATGTCACTCTACAGGGGTTAAGGATTCACACTTTGGCTGTGGAGGGAGTGAGGAAGGAAGGGGAGCCTGGAAGGTACTGGAATCCAGAAGGAAATGGGTGAGGGGGCAGCAGAGAGTGTGCGGCCAAAGGCAGAGGCCGGGAGAGACAAGAGCGAGGGCGGGCCAGGCCCACCTGTGTAGAAGTACAGCTCCTCGCTGGTAATCGTCTTCCCCAGGAAGCTGAACTGAGGGATATGTAGTTCCTCAGTCCCGTGGAGGGCGTTCCCATCGTCTTCCCAGAATAAGACGATGTCCTCGACTGTGTAGCCATCTTGGGGGAGGGGGCAGAGAGTGAGTCAGTCTCAGGCCACTTTCCCCCCAAGCTGTCTGTGCAGCCAGAGGACGCGAGGGAGCTGCACTCTGGGAAGCTGGGGACACTCGGCAGGGATTATGGGCTGCCAGCCTAGGGTGAGCACACGGGAGTGGGGGGAGAGCTCTTGGAAAGAGAACGCTCAGTTTGGAGCTTCTTAGCCAGGAAGAAAAGCACAGCAAAGGGGCACTACGTGCTCGAACCCACTGGCTTCGGTACAGTTTCCCAATCGCAAGGGACAATTTCCCATAGGCCTCTTTATGTCTTCATGGGGCACATGTTCCCAGCTGCCATCTTTCTCTACCTCTCTCTAATGCATGTCTATATATAAATATCCATTCGTGTGTCTCGCTATACATATATCACATATATATCCATATCTGTATATTGAGAGAGGGAGAAGGGAGAGAGAGGGAAATAGAGGAGGGGGGGAGTGGGAAGGGGCCATGAGGTCCCCTCAGTGTGGACCTGGCCTCTGGCTCCCTCGTCTCTGCCAGCCCAGGCCGGGGAGAAGGGGCCACAGGAGATATACGTACAGCTCTCAATTTCTAGCTTGCAGGCCTGCTTGTCCAGCGGAAATTTCTGCAGGTCCAGGGAACAAGCTGCTGTGGTGGTGAGTCTGCAAAGGCACGGGGAAAGGAAAAGGGAGGGACGGCAAGTCAAGCCTGGGCGGGCAGCCTTTCCAGAGGCAGCTGCAGGCTGGGGAGGGGGCGCTGCACCAGGGACGCATCACATCTTCCCGTGCCGGCTCCCCTAGAGCTGGGCTCCCCCTCCCTCCCTCTCTTCCTTCCCGGAGGAAAGATGAGTTGCAGATGTGCAAGGAGAGAAACCAAGAGACTTGGTAGGACAGAACCCCCCAGGGTGTCAGACCAGAGGGGCCCTGGAGGAAACTGAATGCAGACACAGGATGGGGGCAGCGGCAGCTCTAGCGCCGAGAGGGGCCGCAGGTGTGTGCCATGCTGTGTGCATGTGAGCGGGGACCCAGAGCCACCTCGTCTCCGTGCAGGCCTCTGTGGGTATGCGGTGTCCATGGACAGAGGGGTTCATGTCGTAGGTGGGCCATGGACGTGTGTCCACACGTGGGCCGTGGACGTGTGTCTGCACGTGGGCAGGGGCTTCAAGCTGCCATGTGATGGGTCAGTGAGGGAAATGTGAGGCGGGGTCTCGGAGGAGCCGGGGAAGTGGAAGAAGCGACCGGTGGGAAGAGGGGCTTACAAAAGCTCTCTGCACCCTCAGCTGGAGGCTCTCTGTCCCACCCGCCTCCACCTGGCCCAGCGCCTCATCCCAGCCCAGCCCATCTCAACCCTTGAAGCCACTGTCATTTTGTATAGTGGCTAAGGGGTGTGTGTGTGTGTGTCTGTTCTTCTCCCTTCTACTAATTCTCCACAGGGTGGTAAGACCCTTTTAAATGACACAGGTGTGACAGGGAACCTGCTCCCTGCAAGCTTTCTTGTTCTCTGACTCCCATGGCTCAGTCCACGGGAAAGCGGACGCAGAAGGAAGAGAGAGACAGAGGGACGGGGCCAGGTCCCCAGAGGAAGAGAAACCTCAGAGACTTGACCTGCAAAAACAGGAAGAGCGGTCCTCCTCCACCTGAGGGAATCAAGGAGGACTTCTTGTAAAAGAGGGCATTTGGGGTAGGGTGGGAAGGATGGGCAGGTTTAGACTCACAGAAAGGAGCAAAGGCCATTCCAGATAGAAGGAACAGCACAACTGAGGATGGCCTTGGGGCACTGGGAAGGGTCGCTTTGGCTGCTGGGTAGGAATGAAGGGGCAGGGCACGACAGATTTGGAAAACAATGGGCTTCTCTGTGTGTTCTGTAGCAGGTGTCCATGGGACGCTCAGTGAGAAGCAGGAAACACACAGCACCTCTGCAGCAGGCCCCTGGGGGGACTCACCGGATGGCATACCGGACCGTTCCATCGGGGTGAAGCTGAAACACGCGGTTTTCCACGGTCACATCGTGCACGAAAGCATCCTTGCTCTTCAGGAAGTAGCAGTCAGGGACCCACAGCTTCTCGAGCATCCGATGGTCTAAAGCCAGGTTCAGGCTGGTCTCGTGGTAGGCCAAGCGTGGGTCTTTCCAGGTCTGATGAAAAAACATCGTGATTGTATAGTCCTGGGGAGAGAAAAGTAAACGCAAGGTTTAAGTGAGGTCCTCCAGCGCTCCACCCTGGCGCGCGTGTGTGCACGTGTGAGATATAAATACGGAGGAGTACAGGAAACAAATGTATGTGTAAGGAAAAATAAGAAAGTGAACCCTGTGTAATTAATATCCAGGTTAAGAAATGGAACATTGCAAGTAACTTTCAAGCCCCAATGTCTTCCTTCTAGAACATATTTCCCATACTTCTTAGCAGTAATCATTATCTTAGATTTCATAACTCCCTTGCTTTTGCCCTAGTGGCCCAGCGGTTAAGAGCTATGGCTGCTCACCAAAAGGCTGGCAATTCGAATCCACCAGCTGCTCCTTGGAAACCCTACGGGGCAGTTCTACTCTGTGCTAGAGTTGGAATCCACTTGATGGCAACGAGTTTAGTTGTTTTTTTTTTGGTTGTTTTTATTAGTTTTGTCTACATACGTATTTCTGTTCTTGTTACTGTGTGCTGTTGAGTTGATTCTGACTCAATGCAACCCTATGTGACAGAGTAGAACCGCCCTATAGGATTTCCTAGGCTATAACCTTTACGGGAGCAGATTGCCAGGTCTTTTCTACTGCGGAGCAGATGGTGGGTTCAAACTGCCGACCTTTCAGTTAGCAGCCGAGTGCTTAACCAATTGCACGGCCAGGGCTATTCTAGATAAATATCTTGCTTCGTTAGACCTATTTTTGAATTTTTTCTGAGTGGAATCATACTGTATTAGTTGCTTCTTTCATTCAACACCAAATTTGTGAGATTCATTCAGGTTGATGTAATTATAATTTGTTCACTTGCATTTTTGAATAATATTCCTTTACGTGACATTGCCATGGTCAATTCGGCTCTGACTCATGGTGACTTTATGTTATCTATATATGTTAGACATGAACATACCAAGCATATTATTGTGTGAACACACCATACATACCCAAACTATGATGAAGTAAAAACACCAAAGAAAAAGGTCCAAGATGATTCCATGCAAATGGCCAAGCATAGCTCAGAGCAGGTGAGGGTTCCCGTTGTTCCAGCCTCGCCAGCATTAGTCTTGTGATGGGCTTTCATTGTGGTTTTATTTTGCATTTCACTGGTTACCAATGAGGTCGACTATCTTTTCGTGTTTGTCTGCTATTTGGTTTTCTTCACAAAAATGAAGTGTGTGTTTGTTCAAATTTTCTGATCATTTTTCTATTAGATTGTTAGATTCTCATGAATTCAGGAATTATGCATATTTGAGTGTCAGCCCCTTGTGTTGCAAATCTCTTCATCTACTCGCCTCTGACTTATCGCCCTTTCACACTTGTCACGGTTGGTTTTGCAAAACAGGACTTTAATTTTCAGCTGAAGTTATCAGTCTTTATTTTATGGTCTGTGTTTTTTGTGTCTTTGCAAAGAAGTCCTTACCTATATATTATCTTATAAAAGCTTCACTTTAGAAGCCTTTCACCTTTAACTCTACAATCCACCTGGACCTGAGATTTTATGTATGGTGTGAAATGGGGTTCAGTGTCTGTTTTTTATTCCAGGAGGCTATAGTTTCCAAAACCTACTGTGTTCTTCAACGTCAGCTCTGTTGCAGGTCAGAGCAACTGGAGAAGGCTTCTCATCCTGCTCCTTGTCCCCTGGCCCCAGCCCCGTGGCTGGAGCGAATACACTTACCATATTCATTTCTGAGATCTGTTCAATACTGGAGATGTAGACAGATACGCCCACGGGCACAGGGTCACCTACAATACAGGAAGACACTGTTACATGTGCCCTCAGGCCTCAATGTCCCCTTCCACACAATGAAGGAGTTAGACAGGGGTTCCTGCAAGTAACCATTGCTCAGCCTGCAGTGGCATCTCCAAGCATGTGACCTAACCACAGGGAGTCTATCTAAGTCATGGAAGCTTTGTGTGCCGTCCTTACTCCATGACTTTACAGATGGGGAGACTGAGGCCCAGAGATGGGAAGGGACTCATTCGAGTCACTTAGTGGCAGCTGCAGGTGTTCAAAACCGACTCGTATGCCTCGGGTCAGGGCTCTTGCTGCGGCTCTAAAAGTCGGGAGGGAGAGGATTCAAACTGTTAGGATGACGGACGGGTTGGGCCAAGATAACGAGAAAATACAGGGGATGAAGCACTCTTTTTTGAAACACTTTCCTGATCAAAACTGAAGAGCAAATGAGACCAGAAACAAGAGCCAAGATTTGGGGTGTGTGTGAGTGAATACGTGAGCAACTTCGTGTGTGAGAGTTTGTTCATGTGGGCTCGTTTTGACTGTTTATGTGAGTGGATGTGAGTGTGTTTGTGTGTACGAGCAAATGTGTGAGTGTGGGTGTGTTCCTGGATGAGTGGGAGTGAATTTCTGAGTCTATGTGAGTGAGCTTGTGTGTGAGTGAATGTGTGATCCAGTGACTGAACTTGTGTCTTTGTGTGTGAGTATATGCAAGTATGTCTGGAAGTCAATGAGTTCATGTGTATGTGGCTGCTAATATGCGAGTGTACATGTGGGCACGTTCACGTGTGTGCCCTTGTGTAATAGGTCCGAGTGTATGTGAGCATGCTCGTGTGTTTAAGTGAATGTGTGAGCAAGTCTGTGTGTGCCTGGTTACATGTCAGCGTATGTGTGTTTGTGTGTGAGTGAACCCATGAGCATATTTGTGTGTGTGAGGGTGTTAATGTGAGTTGTGAGTGTGCAAGCGTGTATGAGTTTGCCTGTGTACGTGAGTGAATTTGTGAAGGCGTTCATGCGAGCCTGTGAATGCACGAGTATGCTAACGTATGAACATGTTCACGTGGGAGTGGGTGTGTGAGCATGTACGTGTATGTGAGCACGTTCGTATGTTTGAATGCCTCTGAGCATGGCCATGTGAGTGTGTTTATGGGTGAGTGTGAGTGAGTGCATGAGCATCCATGTAAGTGACTATGTGAGCAAATTCATATGCCAGTAAATTTGCATGCATGCAAGTGTATGTGTGACATTGTCCACGTGGGAGCATATTATGTATATGCTCGTGTGTGAGTGAATGCGTGAGTGTGTGAGTGCGCGTGTCTGTGTGCGCGTGAATGTGTGAGCGTGTGTGTGTGAGAATGTTGAGTGTAGGTCTGCATGTGAATGTGTGAGCATGTGCATGTCTATGAGCATGGTCACGTGTAAGGGAATGCGTGAGGCTGCGCATGTGTGAGCATGTCAATATGGGCGAGTGAATGGGTGTGTGCGGGGGGGGCATTTGAATGTATGTGTGAGTAAATGTGGGAATGTAGGTATGTTTGGGTGTGTGAATGAATGTGTAAGCGTGCTAATGTGGGAGTATATTTGTGTGTGAGCATGTCTGTAGGACTGTGTGAGCACGTATGTGCATGTGAGCATGTTCCTGTTTTAGTGAAGGTGGGAGCAGGCTCGTGAGTGTTGCTGTGTGTGAGCGAAGGGGCGAGCGTGTGCACGTCAGTGTCTGTGAATTTGTGTGCGCATGCTCATGAGCGTGCGTGCGTGTGACTTTGAGCATGTGTACGTATGTGAGCATGTCGGAATGAATGTGTGAGTACGCATGTGGGAATGAATACGCGAATGTGCTTGTGTGGGGGCAAGTGAACGTGTGTGTGACCATTTCTGTCTATGCGTGAGCGTCTGTATGAGGGAATGTGTGTGCCTGTCCGTGTGTGAGCAGGTCCATGTGTACGCTCGTGTGTGTGGATGGGTCCATGTGCGAGTGAATATGCGTGCATGTTAAAGTGTGAGCGTGTTCCTGTGTCTAAGTTAATGTGTGAGTCTGTGAGTGTATGTATGTATGTATGACAGAATGTGTGAACACGTTAGTGTGAGCACGTCTGTGTCTGAGTGAATGCGTGGGCGCGTGTGTCTTCGTGCGCTAATGTGTGCTTGTGTGCATATATTTGTGTGAACATCTTCATGTATGAGCATGTTTGTGGGTTAATGTGTTCACGTGTGTTTGAGCGAACATGCGAGCATGTTCGTGTGTGTATGTGAATTTGTGTGAGCATGTTTGTGTGTGTGAGTGTTACTGTGTGGGTGAATGTGAGTGTAAGTGATTGTGTCCGTGTGTGAGAGAATTTGTGTGTTTCTGTGGGTGACTGGATATGTGAGTGTGTGTGGTGGGGGGGCTTTTTTTCAGGCCTCAGTGTTCGCGCTGCCTGCTGGCAGGATGCAAATGTGATCATGGATCCGAAGGTATGTAGTAAACTGTAAGGTGCTGTGGACAAATCAAATGTTATCCATTCCCTCATGGTCTCAAAGCTGCCCGCACCCGGCCCTAGAGCAAAGCCATTATTCTGTTAGTACATCACACTGCTGCTATAGAGCCACCCCTGATGCACACAATTCAGCCTGCTGGCCTCACTGCCGTCCAATGGCCCAGAAGCTGCCTGCAAAGAGGCTAGCGCAGGGTTCCAGGCCCAATACCGCAGAAGGCAAAGTGCTACTGGGACTGAGCATCTGAATGACAGCTGGGATAGGGCCCAGCCCAGACTCCAGCATTCAGGCTATTGTGAACTATCCCCAGCAAAATGCTAGGTAGTGACAGGGCTTTCTAGAAACACAGTTCTTTATTACTGCCTTCCAGGCCTCCCACATGCCTTCAGAGGCTGGAAGCTGTGCTAGGCAGGCAGCAGCCCCCACAGGGGTCAGGCAGCCAGGCGCCCCTCCCACCCCAGGGTCACACTCCACCTCACCCTAGCCCATTCAGCACCCTCACGCAACTCCATCCCTCCCAGGGGAATCCTGGAGACCCTAGATTCAACAGGTAATCACCAGGTAAACTCTGCATGTTTCTGCCTTGATCCCTAATCTCACTTTCTTCTAGAATCCAGTTGTAAATCCCTACCCAAGCCCTCTTTTCTCCTTGCTAAACACCCCCGGCAACATCAACATTGCCTCCACCATCCACAGGTGCTCACCCTCAGGTCTGCTCCCCTGGGCTGGGCTGGGCTGGGCTTCCTCTCTAGGGTGCGCTGCAGTGGCTGACCAGGTGGGGGCACTACCTCCAAGGGCAGGGACCTTGTACCGTGAGGCTCGGCTCGGTTCTCTACTCCTCCCACCCCTGCTCCCGCTCCCTTAGGAGGGCAGCTGACTCATCTACAGTCCCTGCCCCCTCCCCCTTCCCAAAACCACTAGTACAGGAGCCCGCAACTGAGCATCTGCAGTGCCCCCTTCTGTCTGAATGCTAGAAGGTGCTGCGTTGTCCTTGGCCTTCCACCTTCACCTACAGTTCGGCCAAATCGATCCAGGGGCCCATCTATTCTCACACGCCCCAGGTCTGTGTCCCCACAAAGCTTAATGTAACCTCCCCCTCAACTTAGGCATCCCCAAACAAAAACTCATAGCACCCCTATAGAACAGAGTAGAACTGCCCCATAGGGTTTCCAAGGCTGTAATCTTTACTGAAGCAGATTGCCACATCTTTCTCCTGTGGAGTGGTTGGTGGGTTTGAATTGCTGACCTCTCGGTTGGCAGCTGAGCGCTTAACCACTGCACCACTAGGGCTGTACTTAGGCATCAAACCAAACACGAAACCCGTTGCCGTCAAGTCGATTTTGACATACAGCGACCCTATAGCGGAAATCTGTTTGCTTGAAAGGCGGTGATGAGAAGCCTCGGGTGTGAGGAGAGGAGAAAATGAAGCAGCCCCTCTCTTGGTGACCACCTGGTGCTTGGCGCAAGGGATCCAAAAGCCCCGAAGAGCCCCTGCTGCCCTGGAGTGTAGGCAGGACTTCAAATCTGTTCATTCAGCTTGGAACCCCTGCTGAGAATTTGCATTTCTAACTAGTTCCCTGGCGATGCTGGGACCAATTCTGAGAATCACTAGTATAGAAATTGGTCTCAAAATTTATTACACATAACAATCACCTGGGGGTCTTGTTAAAATGTAGATTTGGATATCTGGGGTGGAAAGGCTAATTCTCAGCAGGGGGTCGAACCAGAACAAACTTGTCAGAAGCCCTGGGTGTACGGTTATTGAAAGAGCCTGCCTTCTACCCTCTCTGCCGCCCTGTCCCCAGCTTCCCAGCCCCAGGTGTGCACTCACCTTGGCACCTGGCGCTGCTCTTCTGCCCTCACACTCCGGAAGGAGCAACAGAGAAAAGAGGAGGCACCAGTCCACTCCCACGGCCCACCTCGGGGCCCAGGGCAGTGGCCTCGGTTTTCAACAGCACACCCCAGGCCAAATGGCGTCCCCACCAGTCTACCCTAAGGGCCCAATCGTCACAGCGGAGTGCCCTTTAGCTTGGAGGCATTTTATCTTCAAGTCCTCTATTCATATACACAAAGGTGACCATTAACACCATTAATCCTTCAAAGTGGGCATCCAGGTCACCCTTGGCTGAAGTCTGGTGCTGCCTTTAGCTCTTCCCCGTTTCCTTCCAGCCAGAAAGTGACAAACCTCTATTTACTGCACCCTTTCTTTTATCTGTCTGTGGTCCAGCTTGCCTGGGTGGCCCCTGGGCCATAAATACTACTCCTGTTTTGTGGGGTCGGGTGGGTCGGGAGGTTGTTGCCACTGAGGCCTGATCTGGGAGCTGATGGGCAAGGGAGAGTTGAGAACAGGCTTGGAGTGTTTCCAGGAGGTAAAGCCAATGAAACCTGGTGGGGGTTGAAGGCTTGGGAGTCAGAGGTGGGAGGTCCCCTAACCCACCCCCCTCAGTTTTGAACGAACCGAATGCGGTGAGTGCACGGGGTGCAAACAGTGGGTGCTCCGGTAGAAGAACTTGTGCCCTCCCTGTAGAGCACGATGGGGGGGGGAGCAGAAAACGCTACCCTGGGCCACCCCGTGTCCAGGTCTTGCGTTCCGCACGCTCATTTCTGCGGGGAGAGCTTCTCCAGCCACACCAGGGCTCCAGCGTCAGGCTTGCTGCTCTCACAGGGGAGTGTGGAGGAGGCAGGAGGCCCCTTGCAAATGATGGCAGAGAAGTGGGAGAAATTCCAGAGGCAGAGCCAAAGGCCTGGGGGCTGGGACTGCGAAGGGGGAGAAAGGTGCGGTCTGGAGAGGCCTGGGGGCTGGGACTGCGAAGGGGGAGAAAGGTGCGGTCTGGAGACGCCTGGGTGAGCCTGGGGAGCACCACAGGTCAGCTTACTGGGCGGGGCTGGCTTGCTGTCTCAACTCTATTCCACCTAACTCAAAGGCCTCAAGTGTCTGGAGGCAGCTTACCTCCAAAATTTGGTCTCAGACGGACATCGTACCCCGTCAGCACCCTGTCCAAAACCTCGTGAACCACAGCTTCATTCGCACAGTTTTTGCTGAAACACAGAAGTCACTGGTCATCAGTAAATGTCACATTGCTCCTCAGAGAACAGACAGCAAAGAACACCCTGGCCACCAATGTGCCAGGGCCTTCCCTCCCCCTGCACACACCCAGACGTGTACTGTCATACGTGTACACTCTCCCCCTCCCCTCCCTCCCCACTGTGAGTCAGCCAGAAGCGCAGTGTGACGCAAATGCCTCCCCCCTCCCTCGCTCTCCCCCCCAGCTTTCGTCCAGAGGGTGGGGCACAAAGGCTGGAGCCTGTTGCCAGGCAGGATGGGGGGCGGGGAGGCAATCTGGGGAAGTGGGGAGGGGAGGGAGCAAGCAGGGGGAGCCCTCGGGAAAATGCACTACTTCAACCCCCTGAGGCAGCCCACCTTGCAAGCAGCATGGATACAGCCTGACAGGTTGGTGGGGGCCCTCCTTCCACGGGCAGCAGATTGCCCCAGGAAAAGGAATTTTCCACCCTTAGTGTCCTCCATTCTCCAGCTCACACACACCTTTCCCCTACCTGGGCTCAGGCTGGGCATTTTGTTGTCCCGTCCATGTCAACCTTGCTTTTTGTACACTTCTGCTTTCAGGACTGGGCATATGGCACAAGACGCAGACAGAGCCTTGCTTGTGTGGCAGAGATTTATGACCCTAACCAACCATGCCGGTTGCGCTTTGTGGGGCTCAGGGCTGTCCTCGAAAAGACACCCATTCTGGGAGTAGGCATCTCTGTCACTAAGCATGTGCTTCCAGCCTGGAGGTGTCTTGGGCAAGCCTAAGAAAGAAGACAGCTCAGCCTTGCAGACAGCCAGCTTTTCTAGAAGTCTCTAATGTGCTCACCCAAGACACTCGAGCCCTTCAGCGGGGCTTTATCCCTCAAAAGGAGATTGTGAATGAAAACAGGCGCTGGGCATCACTGTGACTCTTAGGATCTTTCATGCGTTGCCCAGGGAATGCCAGCCCCTGCAATCTCAGTATGTGCGTGCGTGTGTGTGCGTGCGTGTGTGTGCGTGTGTGTGTGTGTGTTCCCCAGCGCAGTCTGGTATGACGGGTTGAGGGCACTGCAGGGCTGTCTGCTGGAACCTTGCCGACGTACCTTTATTTTTTTCCTGGATATATGTTCATTTCTGGTTTGCCATTTAAAAAATTATTCCCAATCATCTTTAATCATAATATTTCATTTTGCAACATTCCAGAGTGTGCGCATGAATTATTCCCGAATTAAAGCAATGCATTCCCGCCTGTTTCCGACCACACAATACCCATGTGCCAGCGCTCAGGATCCGTAGCCACCTCAAATACCAATTTCTCTGTGATCTACATGTCAATAGCTGACTATTTAACATGGCTTTAGATATGCGCAGGTCCACACAAACTTGAAATGGAACACAAAAAACCCTTGATCTTCACGTCTTTTCACAGGAGTAAGTACAAAAGCGCACCCAGGTGAGCTCCCACGATTATACAGCCACAGACCGCGCTGTCTGGGATCTGGGGAGGCTGTGCCCGTGATTTCCATCTGCTGCTTCAGGAAGGTTCCCCCAGCCCCTCATCACACACATACACACACACATACACACACACACACACACATACACACACACACACACACACAGACTCCCGCGCGCGCCCTGGGAAATAAGCTGAAATCCGGACTCCAACAGGTGTCTCTCGTGTCTGTTTTGTGTCTGGCTCATTCCCCGGTACCCCCCACCCCCAACACGTACATACACAGGGGCCAAAGGACATGGTTGGAGAGAGCTGCCGGGACCTTAGCCTTTGGGGAGGGGTGGCAGCCCCGGAGCGGGGAAGCGTCTCTCCCCGGGGTTGCGGTCTGGGCACATGGGCGCTGGGCGCCGCAGGGACAGGTGGTGGAGCCTAGAGTCGCCTCCACTGTCCCCCTCTCCCCTTCCCTCCAGGGCCATCCCACTGTCCCCCTCCCCCTCCTGGGCCAGAAGGCAGGGCCGGGGCCGAGGTCCTCTGCCCGCTCCGTCCACGGGCCCACCGCCCGCCGCTCACCAGTTGAAGAGGTCCTGGACGCCGTCGGGAACCGTGGAGTGGCCGAAGTGGAACCCGGCGGTGGGACTGGGGGCGCTGCCCTCCGCCAGCCAGGTCCGGATGAGCAGCAGGAGCACCGCGGCTCGCAGCATGCCGCGGATGCCCATGGCTGCAGCGCTCCTCGGGACAGCCGGAAGGGACGGGGCGAGCTGGGCAGCGCAGGGCGGCCCGGCCCG